AACAAGCCCAGCTCCCTCAGCCTTTCCTCGTAGGAGAGATGCTCCAGTCCCCTCACCATCCTCACAGCCCTCCGCTGGAGTCTCTCCAGTAGTTCCTCATTTTTCTTGAACTGGGGAGCCCAGAACTGGACGCAGCACTCCAGATGGGGCCTCACTGGGGCAGAGTAGAGGGGGAGGAGAACCTCCCTCGACCTGCTGGCCACACTTTTCTTAATGCCCCCCCAGGATACCATTGGCCTTCTGTTCCTTAAGAGATCTCGCAACATGGTGAAGTCCCATGATTTTGCTCTAAAACATCCACAGTTCTCCCCTCCTCAGCCTGCAAGAAGCCACTGCATTCCCTGCATATTCTGAGTCTTCAGCTCTGGAGCAGGGCACAACAGTAGTCTGCTCGCTGCGGGGAGAGACGAAACTCAGTGGGTTGATGGTCCTGTGACCATGAAACCTTATAATTAGGTATGTTTAATTTGACGATAACTCTTTACTGCCTTATTTTAATGGTGTTAAGGGAGCAGGGGTTGTTTCTATAATCAATAAAGCTGTGTCTCTCATCTGCTGCTGCGAGCGCTCTGCTTCGCTGTTGGGGGATCGGTGTTAATAGACACCGGTGCTGAGTGTTGAGAGTTCAGCCCGCAGCTCGATGCTCACAGCATAAACAACCAGATCGCTGGCTGGGACAGATGACTCGCGCAGTTCCCCCCGCTGCGGGTAGCACAAAGGCCCAGCCAGCTGTTATGGTCCCCCTGAGCACGAGCAACGCTTCCTTCCTCCCTCTCTCAGGATGCAAGTCCACTTCTCTGTTTGTGTTTGGGAGAGGAGGAAGGAGTCCAGCAGCTCCGTCTGCGCTCTGTTGCCTTTTCGGGAAGATCATGGTTAAGGTTGTTTTTCAGCACTGAAACAGGGCGGCCTCCTTCGTGATGTCCAGCACTACTGCACGGGCAGGAAGCCACACCGGCACAGCCTCGGCGTGCACCGCTGGTGTTCACTCTGAAATGCCACTAGTTTGGCAAAAGGGGTTTTTTTTCTATATCAAATCAAAGAAACATGGGAGATGGCACTTCATGGATATGCCTGGCCATAGCACAGATTTTCTAGGATGCTACCCTGTCTGGGCAGGACTGGATCCAGACAGGTCTGCTGGGCCCATCCACCAGTCCCTTTACTGGGACCAGTGCGTGTCAGTACACCCATGGGATGGAGCTGGGCAGCCTGTTCGCTCCCTGCTCTTGGCCGCAGGGCCTTTAAATCTGAGGAAGCTTGCAGCTCTTGTTTCACCCAGCCTTTCCTTCATTTGCTCCTTACTAGAATAAAAGAGCAGGAAGGCAAATGGAGGGAAGCAGCGTGGGTCTCCCTCTAAGAAAGACCACAGAAAATGCCGAACTCTGGAATTAAAACCACCACAGCAGCAAACGTCAATGAATTCTTCTTGCTGTGGAGGAGCGCAGAGGCTCCACAATGAAATTTCTGCTACAGGACGTGAGTCAGCCCAACTCTTTCAAATTGAAATGCCAGTAGAAGTGATTTTTTAGAACAAATCAATAAAAGGAACATGTAGAAAATGTCAGGCCCAGATGGTATTCACCCCGGAGTGCTAGAGGAACTCAGATATGAAATTGCTTGGTTTATTAACTGCTGTTCGTTAACTACTGCTTCAAATGAATACGGTATCAGAGGAGGGGAAGGTAGAAATTGTGACATGAGTTTTTAAGCACATGTAGGTGAATCTGGTACAGGCAGATTCATAGAAATCATTGTGTGCGAGGCTCAGCAGATAGCCGAGTACCTGGTATTCAGACACGAAGTGACGTGACATTTGCAAGGCAGGGAACTGCGTTTTGCAAATTTGTTGGTGTCTGGAAGAGGTAGATGAAGAGTGCTGGTTGACAGAGGCCACCTGAGCTTGCAGAATAACACCAGCCGGGCTCTCTGGGGACCTGAGCTGTCCCTGAATTAACAGCCACGTTCTGCCAGGGACTAATACGTGTTAAAAGCTGGGGAGCGAGGATAGGAATAAATAATCTTCCCGCAAAGGGGAGTCGTTAGTGGAGTCCCAGAGTTTTCATTCAACATGGTGATAAATGATGTAGAGAAGTGGATGGCATTGGTGTTGACTCAACTAGAACACCAAACGACAGAAAAGCAGAGGGTTGCTGAAGGACCTATTGATACTGAAGGCCGTGAGCAAAAAGCAGCTGGTGGATTTGTGTCACCACCTGTTGGATAATTGTCACGGGGATTGACACATCATGTATTGATGACTCTCCCACCACAGAGGAGGGATTTGGATTTCACCATGGACAGTTTGGTAACAGAGCTCAGCATGGAGCTTGGGCAGGACAAGAATGAAGAGCAAACCAGAAGACCTCCTTATGCCACCAGAAGACCTTATACCAACAGTGTAGATGTATCCTAAGCACTGCACGCAATTCTGGTCACCACATCTCAATAAAGATATGCTAAAATTAGTAACAGATTCATCATAGGAGATGAGACTGGACTAGTTCCGCCTGGTGGGAAAGAGGTGTCTGATGGGGCTCAAGGGGTCTATAGCATCATGAGGGGCTCGACAAGGACAACTCTTCATCTTTCTCATTCCACATGAACTAGGAGACCATGAAACGTAGCGGCTCAGGTCAGCATGGGAAGCAGTTCACATGGAGCATAGTTGAACAGGACTTTACCCCTACACAACAACAGAGGTCAACCTCACAAATCAGCTCAACAAGAACAGATACATCCATGGGAGGGAAGATCTGTCAAGAGTGATTAAACACATGAAAAAATCCAACGTGAAGCTCAGCAAGTCCGTTTGCTGTAAACTGCCTGGTACCAACAGCAAAGGGTGGTCCATACATGCTGTCCCAAGCATCTGTCACTGTCGGAGCCACTCTAGCAGATGAGATGACCCCTGGCTTGCTGCAGGCCAGCCAGTTTTATCTCCTGAATGGGGTTAGTGTGTTATTTGAGGAGATCCCGCTGCTGGAGCCCCCCACCAGCCCCAGCATGCTCCCAGCAGCAAGGCCACCTTACCTGCCTGCGGCTCCAGGAGGGTCTCCAGCTCCTCTCCCACCAGCTGCTGCACGGAGAGCTCGAACCCGCTCTCCGAATCGCGGTCCTCTGCCTCGCTCTCGCCATGCCCGCTGTCCTTCGTGCTCAGGCAGTCGGCATCCAGCCCCGCAGCCCTGCGAGGGGGCCCACAACAAAAAAACCCGCCGGGGGGGGGGGGCATCACTCACAGTACCAAAGGCATAATCACTTCAGTCCCCAATTAATGAGTTTGGGGTTTGTTGGTTTTATTTTTTAAAAAAATAAAAATATATTTTAACAAAAGCACTGGGACCAGGAGTGCCACGGACCCTCTGAAAACTGTGTGCTGGCTGGGTGCTGGGCTACACGTGGGGCTGCTCCACATTTCTTGCCTGAGAGGGTTTTTATCCTTCTGCAGGGAAATCCTGAGCAAACAGGGAGCTGCCGGCTCTTCCCCATGAATTCGCAGGAGCTGCTCGTGTGCAGGACAAGGCGAGAGGCACTGCAGCCCAACCCTGCCCCAGCAGCCCCAGAGCGGCTCTGCTTCCCTCTCCATCCTCAGCAGATGGAGATGATGATGAGAAAGGTGGAGAAAGCTGTGTCTGTCCATGGGCTGGGCAGGTGGGGACAGAGGGGACGTGGCAAGACAGCGGTGAAGCCCTGGCATCCTCAGGAGCGTTCAGCCAGAGAAGTCAACAGCATAACTTAATGGGAACGCCGCAAAATTTGTCTCTGGGAACATCCTCAGTGCACAGCTGGGATACCTCAGTCCTTCCCGTCCCTGTGAGCAGTGTCTCTCTCACTGGCCACCTGGCCCGGGGACCGATGCCCTGAACTCAGGTCAACAGGCAACAGCATCTCTAAGCAAGTACCCCGAGCCATGAGAAAACTCATCCTTGTGCTTCTGGCTCCAAAGCTGTGCTCGTGAGTGCACCTTCCCATAGCCCTTGGAACAAGTCGGTGTTCCCCGACCAAGGACCGGCAGGTGGTTCACGGCTGCAGGGGGGCTCGGGTAGGTGTGGAAGGAGCTACCAAAGGTACCCCAGGCAGGAGGCATAGAGCAGCCCTGGAAGGTAGCTGGATACCAATGGGGAGACAGGACCAGAGGAGCACAGCTGTCCTGAAGGAGCACCCACCTTCCCAAATTCAGGTCAGCAAAACCAGGAATGAGGTTTTTGCCTTGTGTGTCTGCTGCCCTGGTGTCTCCTGCCCTTGGAGGCTCTTGGGGCCAGTGGGGCTGAAGCGGGGGCAACAGAGGCGCAGAGGAGCGGGGAGTGGGGAGGGCTGAGAGCTGGCCTTACCTGCTGCCGTTCTTGGCCGTGTACTTGTTTCCCCTGTGGTTTGTTTTGGGCTGGAACTGGCCCTGGTGCAGCAGGGAGAGCAGCTGGGAGATTTGCTGTAAGGCAGGAAAGGCCTGTTGAGCCCCAGCGATCACCGCTCAAGCTGCTTCCTGCCAGGACGTCCCCTCCGAACCCCCCC